TTGTTTTTTTTTAACTAGAATGGATGAAAAGTATTTAGGTTTCTTTTCCCATATTAAAGGGATTTTGAAGTATACCTTTGAAGTCTACAAAGTATTATTATCAAAGACCATTTCAGCATGGATGTGGGACAGAAAATTTATTTCTTTTTTAAAGAAAAAGAAAATGCATAAAATTCAAATTCCTGTTCAAACTGCAAGAATAAACAAGACAGGCGCTAGGATTGCCATAGTTGACTGCTACACTTACAATTACCCTCACACAGCCATAAATAAATTTGATTTGAGGAAAAAGAGAAGTGATTAAAATTCACCATATATAATGGGAATGATGCATATCGCTATGCACTGACTGTTGCTCACCCAAACAGGTCAAGCTGGAACTAGCTAAAAGTTCACGTGGTACGTTCAAGATGATCAATGACAAAAATTACAATGCACAAAATACTTCAAAGAAAAAAATGTTCTTCTGTTGAACAAAGACAGACTTCTTATTCTTTTCTAAATATGTTCAGTGTTATTGTCTCAATACAGCAGCTGAAGAATATGAAACTGCTGATTCTGTGCATATAATTCAAACTGTTGTACACATACTTGAGTATATATGTTAAACCAGATAAAAAACAAATCCATTTTAATAAACCTCAAACTAAATAATGTTCTTTATGGAGTTAAATAACCAGCCTATAAAAAACTAACTTACAAACACTAAGCTAGAAAAAAAAATTCATGTGCATTGGAAATTTTTAGTGCCACTTATTCAAATCAAGGAGAGGACAGCTGCTCTTACAAGTACCTTCAGCATAACTGTAAAAAAAAAGTTTGCAATAGCAGAAGACAAATTAAAAATTGGGCTTTGAAACAAACTGTACTAAGCTATTTTCAATGACAATTTCCTCTGGTAAAAGACAGGTTAATGGTAAGATGACAAACATTTACTTCTGATGTTTACTGGTGCTTGAGGCAAGAACTTCAGAATGGCATCTGGCTGAATTAACACATCATAGCCAGTGCCCCTATGAGTATGTTGACTTCATTCACACACAAAAATGATTTCTTAACTATGTAAATCAATATAAGTCACTACAAGTTAAAAAAAAAAGTCTCAATTTTCACATCTTCAAAATTTGGTGAAGTTATTAACAGATCTTCCTGTTTGCAATCGTACAATCCTCTACAAATCCCACATTGAGCAAACAGTGAAAAATAATACCGCAAAAAGAAAATTCCATTTAGTCAGGAAATAAAAATCCTTTACTAAGTTACACTGCCTAGTTTTTCCGTGCAATCTTTATTAAATTTAAACAGTCTCTCATTCTTTTTGAGCTTGGCATAATTTAACTTTTATTGCAAAGTAATTTTTTAAACCATATGTTTATTTTTAGCTGGTGAAATTTATCAGCAGCTAAAACTTCCGAGTAATTTCAGCCTTTTTTGGTCTGCAATGCTTTCTCTTCAAATAGGCCTTTTAGTTATGACTTCCATTCAACTTCAGCTTTGCTAAGATCTTTTCTACCTTGCTCTTCTCCCAACTTCTAAAATTTCATAGACAAAAAAATGACCAGAATTTGTAACAACTGTGCAGTACTGGCAATAGAGGCACATATCTGTGGCATAGGGCTGAAGCAGGTGAGCCAAACCAGACAATGAAAC